ACTGACTTCGAAATGTGTGTGTGTGAAATCTGACGAAATTCTTCGTCCGTTTTCTGACGAATGCAGTTCGGACGAAAACGCATCCAAAGGACGACCGGCCTGAAGTTCTTTGGGACAAAAGTGTGATTTTTTTATAAATAGGTTTCCAGCTTTCTAAACATTCTCAAAACTTAAAATATGTTTTTTTTTTTAAACTTTTTTCTTTTTTTTTAAAAAGGGGGGCAGTTGCCCCCTCTGCCCCACCCCCCCCTGTATCCGCCACTTATCTTCATTGACTCCTTCCACAGCAGCTCCTTCTGTCCACACTCCACGCGTCGTTGTAAGGCAACATCATACTTATTACGCGGGCCGTATCACTATTCCTCTTTTAGCTACCAATTTTTTTTATCTCATTAACTCACTTTACCTTTGTCCAAACAATGGTCCACATCATCTCAAAAGCAGAGCTTCTCGCTGTTCCAACTTTTCTTATTGGGATAAATAATTTCACTTTGTCTCCTACTTCAAAATTTAATTATGCCTAGTCCTGGTATACACTATAGCTTAGTTTTGGTTCGAAATTTGGAACGGTTCTGGAATTGCGCAGAACTGCTTGCGCACCAAAAAATAATAGAGGACTGTTCTAATACTAGTTCTGAACCAATTCGGAACCAAAAAAAACCAAAACACAAAATTCTAAAACAGTTCCTCCTTCAGAGCAAGAACTGAGAGAACCGTTCTAGAACAATCCCAGAATTGTTCTCAAAAAGTTCTAGATAAACCAAAACACTGTCAACACAGTTCGATTACGATTCTGAAAAAACCAAAACGCGTTTTGTAATATGCGCATGTGCAGGATGATTCCGAACTAGTTCTGAGTGAAACCAAAACAAAGCTAATAACAAAGACACCGCACGCCAGCAAAAAAACTTGAAAATTGTTAGCGATGCCGCTAGGCTTTGTCACTTGCCGACAAAGCTAAGCCGCTCTTGTTGACAGTGTGAGATATTCTCTTTAGAAGTGGACAAAAGTATAAAATTACACAGATAATTGAATAAAAATCAATTTCAAATTTGAATTTTTAATAAAGGAATTAATAGTCCCATTCAAATATTTATATTTGATTTATTTCAATAGTTTAAAACGGAATTTTAAGGATTACCTACTATATGAATTTTGCCCATTTATTTAACGTATTAACTCGGCGGAAATTGTCTTTTTAGGCGATTTCAACGTCCACAATATACCCTGGCTGAAACACCACAACAAAACATAACGAAGGCAGAGAAGCAGAAGCTTTTGCCATAAGTTGTGGTCTAACGCAGCTTGTCGATGAACCTACCCGTATCTCAGAAAGGGGCGAATTTGCAGCGCTTTTAGACTTGTTCCTAACCACAAATCCTGACTCGTACACAATTCAAGTAGATGCTCCACTTGGTTCGTCCGATCATAAACTTATAATAACAAAGTGCGAAATGCTCATCCCACCAAGCCAACAACCACTTCCTCGTAAAATGTGGCACTATAAATCGGCAAAATGGAATGACCTAAAACAGTTTTACCTGGATTTTCCATGGCAAGAGGTTTGCTTTAAAACAGCTGATCCCACTATTTGCTGTAATGAAATAACACAAGTAATCTTATCTGGAATGGATGCATTTATCCCACATACAACTAAACGTAGAGCTAATGCAAAACCTTGGTTCAACAGCCAGTGTCAAACGGCTGTACAGAAAAAACACAGAGCATATAACCTTTGGAAACGACAACAAACCGCTCAAAACCACACAGAATTTATAGAAGCCAGAAATAGTTGCAAAATTACTATTGACTCCGCTAAAGAAACATACAATCAAAGAATAAAAAACAGGTTGCTGAATTGTCCAAGTAGTTCTAGGTCCTTTTGGTGTCTTGCAAAAGCTGTTGGATCTAACTTCACCAAGTCATCCATACCACCACTTACAGATAAAAATAATCACTTAGCCACAACATCAGAGGAAAAAGCCAATATGCTGGCCCAAATGTTTTCCTCCAACTCCAACCTAACAGTGCCAAACGGAAAAAGTCCACCGTTCATTGAAAGGGTTTCCCATAGTATGCCAGAGGTACCCTTTTATCACAGAGAAATACGAAAATCCCTTAAAAAGCTAGATACAAACAAAGCAATGGGTCCGGATGGCATTCCCGCAATAGTACTCAAAAATTGCGCCAACGAACTCACCCCAACTTTCGCAAAATTATTCAATTTGTCTTACAGGCAAGGAGTATATCCATCATCATGGAAGTCTGCCGCAGTACAACCCATTCCAAAGAAAGGAAAAAAGACAGATCCGTTAAACTATAGACCAATTGCTCTACTTCCGGTGATATCAGAAGTAATGGAAAGAGTTGTGAACAATCACCTAACCAAGTACTTGGAAAAGTACAAAATTATCAACGATAAGCAATACGGATTTCGAAAATATAGGTCAACTGGCGATTTACTTATATACGTCACTCACTTATGGCAAAAAGCGATTGAGTTGCGGGGTGAAACAAGAACAATTGCCTTAGATATATCTGAAGCATTCGACAAAGTTTGGCATGAAAATCTGCTCAACAAGCTCAAAGCAATGGGATTATTGCCGAAACTTTGCGCTTGGTTTGAAAGTTACCTAAAGGACAGATCCATTTATGTTGCACTGGATGGCCAGAACTCCAACTCTTACCAAATAAATGCTGGTGTGCCACAGGGAGCAATCCTTTCGCCAACTCTTTTTCTGATTTACATAAATGACCTCATAGATAAAACAGTAAATCCACTTTATTGCTTTGCAGACGATGGCAATGTAGTCTCCTCACTCATACCACCCACAGGTCTTTCCGCACGTGAATTTCATCATCTTAGACTAACTCAAATATCGCAGATAAATAACGACCTGGAGATAATAGAGGACTGGGGTAACAAAAACCTTGTACAGTTCAACGCACAGAAAACCCAAGCAGCTCTGTTTTCAAAAAAGAACAGCACCGGTGAGCCAAACATCATGCTATCTGGAAGTGCTGTCACATTACAGAGTCAGTTGAACATCTTGGGGGTTACTGCAGAGACCAACATGTCTTGGCACAATCACGTGGCAGATATTGCTAAAAGGGCGTCCCAAAAGCTGGGGGTGCTATTTCGTACAAGACATCTGGTACACACCAAGCCAATTGCTGACACTCTACAAAGCCCAGATTCGACCAACTATGGAGTACTGCTCACATATATGGAGTGCAGCACCCAAACATACCTTAATGCTTTTGAACACCGTGCAAAAACGAGCTATCAAGCTGATCAATGACCCTGCACTCACTCGTAACTTGGATGTTCTCGAACATCGCAGATCTGTGGGCGATTTATCTCTCTTCTACAGGTACTATCACGGAAAATGCTCTGAAGAGTTGGCACGTATGATTCCACCTAGAGTAGCGCCTACCAGGCGAATCCGTCAAACAGACGGTAACCATGAATTTACTGTCAAACTAGAGGCACCAAGAACCTCACTATATCAGAATTCATATCTCTGGAGAACAGCATCGCTGTGGAATAAACTCCCTGCGACGGTTTTCCCTGCAGGTTACAACCTGAACCGTTTCAAGACCAACATACACCGACATTTCCGCGCACTTGCCGCTTCTCGAGCGTGATAGGACATTTCCTTGCGAGTGCGCATATCCGTAAAAAAAAAAAAAAAAAAAAAAAAAAACTCCACTGTATTCTAGAGGTAAATCAGCTAGAATTTCGGGGCAATGACGTTCGTCATTTCAGTTTTTATAGAAATATCTGGAGTATGTTTATTCTTTATTAACCAATTTGTTTTCATTTGTCATGATAATAATATTTAGACGCCTATGGATTCCCACGTGACTTCAAAGAGATCAACTGAGCCGCCTTTTTTATGAAATTTCAATTAATAATGGTTAAACTATATCTGTGTCTCTCGTCGAATAGCTCCTTATCTTTTCCCCTACCAGAGTCTCTTCTACATACTTAAACAGTCGTGAGCATAAAAAGTGGAACACCCGTTTTTTCCTATTGTAAAACGAGCTCATCAGCTATACCTACGGCAATGACAGGGATTGTCATATTTGACAAAAAATCCATTGTAGAGAAAAGACTGATTTACCCAAAATAGCGAAAAATGACAAGACCTGTCAGTCGCGCGTCCCACTTTTTATGCTCACGACTGTATGTGTGGTGGGAACGTTTGGAAGCCGGCTACAGACGGTCCGGCAGGCCTGTCAGTTCTAACTGCCCACATAGCAATTGTACATGCTCAGTACATGTACAGAATATTCCAGACAAGGAAAAGTATATGCTAGATATGTTCCAAAAAAGCATTGCGCACATCCACAGTACATCCTGAGTATATGTTACAGGCCCACCGTAACAGATGTTAGGTATGTGCTTATAATATCCTCAAGTATGTCCTAGTCACAAGCTCAGCATGTACTGAACACATATCCACAGAATATGCTCCAAATGTACTTACTATATTCTTCAGGAATGTACATATCATGGTGTAATATTCCATAATACTTTGGTGGAGTATGGAAAGGCGGTATAAATAATACACACACTATAGAGAATACGTAGTTTAATAACCGGTAATAACTAACTAATTACATTCGTGAATCCGGAAGGAACCGCATATATGTATATATATGACGACCGATACGATTAGTACTGAACCTGCAGGGTTGCCAAATATTAGTACTCAAAAGTACTTGGAATATAAGTATACATTCATAAAGCTATATAAGTAGATACATATACAATATATGACACGTCCCCCATAAAAAATAAAAAGAATTACTATATAATATTTAAGCAGAAACAATCAAATAACAAAAATCAACTAATCCCCTAACCCCTGATTTTAATCAAAACCCAATCTTTTTGGAACTCTAACTAATCTCCCACTTTTTGTAATATAATTATTTTCAGTCCCATCGGTAACCTCACTTTTAATATTCTCTCTTGAGAACGGGTTTAGCACCTCTGCGCTGGCATCAGAGTTTTGTGCTTTGACTGTATCTTCCTCAACGGATATGGGCATTTTCACACACTCTTCCCTGGGTACAGACTTTCTCATTGGTCTAATATATTGTCTGTTTCTCCTATAGTCAACTTCTCCAACTCGAACTATGTAATCATTAGGGCCAGACTTACTAATGATCACACCAGGGCTCCACTTTCGAGGACTCTCCTGAACAAATACTTCCTGCTCTGGTACCATTTCACTCAACTGTTTGGTAGAAACATCGTAATATTGTTTTTGTTTTGCCTGATTTTCTAATAAACTTTGCCTAATGTTCTCAATCGAAAAATTCGGAACAAGAAGTTCTTGGCTTACTGGTAAAGTTGTTCTCAGCCGCCTGCCTGTGAGGGAGTAACATGGAGCAGGTAGATTCTGCTTGGGTGTGACGTTGTAATTTAGTATAGCAGCAAAAGGGTCTTCTCCCTCCCGGACACACTTTGTCAGCAGGCCTTTGACAGTTTCAATCGAACGTTCAACCATTCCGTTGGATCTTGGATACCTGGGACTCGACTTAGAAAGTTTAATGTCATACTTCTTAGCAAATGCACAGAATTCAAATGAGTTGTAGGGTGGGCCGTTGTCGGAAAAAATTTCTTGTGGTAAACCATGTATGGCAAAAATGTTTTTCAAAACACATACAACAGCACTACATGTCTTGTTTGGGAGTCTGTTGACAATTACAAATTTACTGAAATAGTCAATTATGACTATAAAATCTTGGGGTCCTAATGATTTAAAATCAATAGCTATCTTCTGCCATGGCAGGTCTGGAACTTCATGTGGCCTCAGAGGTTCACGTGAATTAGACTTGGCATAAGATTGGCAAATCTGACAATTTAAGACCATATTCTCAACATCAGTCGACCATCCGGGATAGTAAATAGCTTCTTGTGCTAGCTTTTTACACGACACTGCCCCTTGGTGGTATTTGTGAATTAACGATAAAAACTCGGCTTTTAGACTTTCAGGAAGAATTAAACGATTTTTATAAAATAATATATTTTGGTTCATAAAAATATCATGCCTGATGTCCCAAAAATTTTTCACTTCTGGTGATACTTCGCTCTTATGTTCCGGCCATCCTTTTAGTATATAATCTTGAATCTTCACTAAAATATGGTCATTTTGAGTAGCGGAAACAATTTTTTGTTCAGTTTCAGGCCTAACAGCGATAACTGAGTGAACTTTAAAGTTTGGGTCCAAATAGTCGGTGTTGACATGCTCCCCGACAGGATCTCTACTTAGAGTGTCTGGAACTTGAAGATTTTTTCCTGGTACATATACAAGTGTAAATTGATATTTTAGAAGTCGTATAGCAAGCCTCTGTATACGTGGAGACATTTCGTCAAGAGGTTTTTTTAAAAGTCCAATCAGCGGTCGATGATCAGTCTCAATTATAAAATTTGGTTGGCCACACAAATAATAATTGAATCGCTCGCACCCATAAACTAGCCCCAGCAGCTCTTTCTCTATGTGGTTATATCTCTGCTGCGTAGTTGTTAATGAAACACTAGCAAATTCAATGGGTTTTCCTCCTTGAAAAATTACGGCGCCGAGACCAAACGGACTTGCATCAACCGACAATGTAATTTTTTCAGTCTGATAAAAAAATGACAATTTTGTAGCATTAGAAACTATTTCTTTCAACTGATCGAACGACTTTTCTTCAACAGGAGTCCACTGCCAGTCCGTTTTGTTACTTAGAAGGGCTCTTAGAGTAGAAGTTTTATTAGATAGATTAGGAAGAAATTTCGATAAGTAAACTATCATACCCAAAAATCTCTGCAACTCCTTTTTATTCTTGGGAGGTTTCATTTCTTGGATCGCCCGTGTCTTTCGTTCATCAGGATAAATTCCATCTGTGCAGATGACATGTCCGAGAAATCGTATTTTGCTAACACAAAACTGAGACTTTGAACGATTTAGAGAGAGTCCACTCTTTTTAATCCTTTCCAGCACTACACGTAAATGTAGATTATGTTCTTCAATTGTCTTACCATAGACCAAAATATCGTCAAAAAATGAGATGACGCCAGGAACTCCATCTAAAATTTCGAAAATGGATTTCTGGAATATTTCAGGGGCACAGGATATACCATATGGTAAGCGCAAGTAGCGATAACGGCCAAAACTGGTAACAATAGTGCATAATAACGAACTTTCATAAGTAAGTGGTAACTGCAAAAACGCAGAAGAAGCATCAAGCTTACTGAAAAATTTTGCTCCTGCGAGCTGAGAGAATAAAACATCCTGGGTAGGAATTTCCCATATTTCCCTTTTAACATACTTGTTCAAAACACGAGGGTCCATACAAATACGAATATCATCGCTTTCTGGCTTTTGAACAACAACAATGGGATGAACCCAATCTGTAGGCTCAGAAATAGGCGCAATTAACTGGGCTTCAACCATTTCATCAAGTTTCATTTTGACCTTATCTTTAAGAGCTATAGGTATTTTTCGCGGCGCGCTAACATGGGGCACGGCATTGTCACAGAGAGTAATGGAGAATTGTTTATTTATTTTTCCAATGCCTGAAAAGATTGACTTAAACTGGCTCAAAATGTCTGCTAAATTATGTTTTACAGCACTAACAGTGTCAATTTTATCTTTAAACCCTGGTATAATTCCCATTTTCTGCACTGCATTTAACCCTAAAATGGAGCAAGTCTTTTCTGAGTCTATAATATAAAAAAGCAAATTAAAGTTTTTATTTTTAAAAACACAGCTCAAATTTATTTGTCCCAAAACTTTAATTTTGTGTCCCGAATATGACATTAAAATAGACGACGCATTAGAGAGTTTATTGTATGGAATTTTAAACAGTTCAAAATCAGATTTCGTCAAAGTATTAACTTGACTGCCTGTGTCTATTTTGAATTTAATATTCACGTTAATAACTTTCACAATCTCTAGCCAGTCAATCGCGTTTACATCGGCAACGGTTATTGTCCACAAAATATTAACATTATCATGATTTACGTCATCATCACTAGTATCAGAGAGTTCAAGTTCGTCAAAATGTTCGAAATGTTCAGTAACGTCATAAACAGTTTGTTTATTGTTATATTTTTTATTTTGCTTACAAAATTTTCGATAATGTCCGGGCATATTACATAAACTACAAATTCTATCAGCAGCAGGACACTTACCTGGCTCATGTTGCAGGCCGCAACATAAACAGCCAAAGTTACCTTTAGTTTGCCGATTGCCTTGACTACCATATCCAGAATATCCTGGTTTGTTGTTCTGCCATCTTCTGGCACTTCTTGTAACAGCACCTGACTGCCACCCTCTGGAACCACCTGGAACAGCACCTGACGCACCACCACTACTTCTTGAATAACCGCCACGTCTCCTATCTATGACATTAACAGCTAACGATGACTTATTTATTTCTTTCTGGGTTTGAACACTTCAACACTTGTTTCCATTGACCTGCTTATGTCTATAGCCTCATTGAGTTCAAGATCTGGATACTGCAGCAGTTTTTCCTGGATTCTCAGATCTTTAACACCCAAAACAAGGCGATCTCGAATTAAAACGTCTTTTTCTTTGAAATCACAGGACGAAGCCAACTGCCTAAGTGCAGTGACAAACTGGTCAATTGTTTCTTCTGAACGTTGTTCCCGTTTGAAAAATTTGAAGTGCTCGTATACCAAATTTTTTCTAGGGTTGCAATATTTTTCAAACTTTTCCAAAATAGTGGCGAGTTTTTCCTTATTATCGCCGTTTGTCTCATCATATTCGAATGTATTGTAAATGGCTAATGCCTCATCGCCCAGTAAATTGAGCAAAACTGCAATTTTCACATTGTCTTTTTTATCGTTTTTTCCGGAGGCTAATAGGTAAAATTCGAATTTTTGTTTCCACAATTTCCATTTATTTGCTAGATCAGTATCATAAAAAGAAAATTGCTCTGGTGCTCGGCTCTGATCAGCCATATTAAAAACTTTTTCAGATGTCCTGAATCCACTAAAAAAAATTATGCACTAGCTTCAAAACTTAGCTTATATCAAGCAGAAAACTAACATAGCAGATAATCTGTCCGTCCGCACTATCTGGCACCGCGGTACTTGTTAGACTTTGTTATCACTATTGTTGAACCGGTTGATTTCTTATTTGGCGATATCCGCAAAAAACCTTGACTAGGTAGGTACCACAAGGTACTCGAAAATCTATAGTGGCACTTTTACCGCTGTCACCATGTAATATTCCATAATACTTTGGTGGAGTATGGAAAGGCGGTATAAATAATACACACACTATAGAGAATACGTAGTTTAATAACCGGTAATAACTAACTAATTACATTCGTGAATCCGGAAGGAACCGCATATATGTATATATATGACGACCGATACGATTAGTACTGAACCTGCAGGGTTGCCAAATATTAGTACTCAAAAGTACTTGGAATATAAGTATACATTCATAAAGCTATATAAGTAGATACATATACAATATATGACATGATATTTATATTCATGACATATGCCTTGGCACATCTATAGTGTATAAATAGTATGACATGAATTCCAGAAATATGCGACAATAGTGTCTGTTTCAAAATTAAATAGAATAGGTAAAAAGTTAGTGTAAACGCTTTTTGCGGGGACCCTGTAGTATTTGCAATTGATCTGACCAAGCGTACAGTTAGCTAGGAATCCTATCCAAATGTGCAATTAGTAACAAGGATCGTAAATACCACAATGTGTCCGCAAAAAGCATTTTCACCTGTTACCTGCTGTCCTATTTAATTTTGGGACAGACATCACATCAAGCTGACCTACCTTTCTTCTTTTGCTGGGACACCTTTTGTCCTAGCGAAAAAACTGTCTTTCCACACTCAGGAACAAATAATTATAATTGGAAATAAGGCTAAACAAATAAAATGTTAACAAACTCATATGAACATATATTTAAATAAGCTTCCAATATTACAAAAAATATGAAGTGTGTAAATAATGTATGGAATGAATAAAATTTGCAACAGCTTCAGCAGACTTGAATGTGAAATTCTTTCTTCCACAGCACAGCCCAAGAGCTTGAATGGGAAACAAACCTGGGAGAAGAGTGTCAATGTTTGGGAAAACCACAATTTAGACTGGAATTTGTGGCTGCCGATCAACATTACTAGCGGAAGAGGTTCTCTCTCTGCTGGAATAGGCAGCCATAAGTGTCTCAACCCTAAGATTTTCCTGAATTATTTTTAATTAGTATAATTATAAACCTAATTTACATTCTCACATATGTGGTAAACAATATCGAAATAAAATATTAACAACTACCTATACTTACCTTATCTTCCAGTTTTTTCTGTGAAAGAAAATGGAAAAAATAAAGAAATCCCTGAAAACATACACAACAACAAAGGCCACAAAAGATCTTTTGAGTTTTGTGAACAAGATAAAACAGACGAAGCCGCGAGCACGCACGTACTGAGAATCGAGATAACCCAGAATCAAAAAAGAAACTAGAAAGAATGGAAATCTTAAATTGAGAAAATTACAATGAATAAAATGAAAATGTTTGATGTGAAATGAAGAGCCTGTATAGGTTAGGTTGGCAACTGAAAAGAAAAAAGCGCGAGCGCAGCGTGACAGTTGACAGCGATTGTAACTGGAACGTAGCCTATGTTCCAATATCCGCGAATGGTATTTTATTATGAGATTGAAATATATCTGAGTCTAGCGAGACATTTCTTAGGGCCGGTATTATAAAACACTGAACCGATGGTTGAGTTTCAACCTTCGGTTGACTCCATGCAAATTGATAGGATTCAACCGAAGGTTGAAACTCAACCATCGGTTCAGTGTTTTATAATACCGGCCCTATTAAATTAAAAATCGAGGATTTCTCATCATTCAATAAATTTTATAAGCGCTGTTTGCACCTGCGCGAATTGACGCGGCAGGTGTGTTGGAGAGAATACACTTTTAGAATATTCTTAACACATGTTACGAATGTACTCGAGAGAATATCTGTACTTTTAAAATGCATATTAATATGATAAGAATTATTAGTTACATTTTCATAAAATCCATTGAAATACTTACTTATTTCAGTTTTTGATGGGATAATATCTAATTTTTGTTTTATTCAAAATATGCTTTTTCGGATGTACCTGCCATATACTTCGAATATACTTGAAGTAAGTGGTACTTTTTATGTTCCTTTCCCGAATATGCTGAGCATGTGCGCTAAGGAATACTTATTTAAATTGGTATATACTTATCATATGCTATACATTTACTGAAAAGAACATTCCTAAAATATATATAGTAAGCACATGCTAAGCATATACCTTAAAAAATGTCCTTTAAGGAACACTGAGCGCATATGCTCAGCATGTGAATGTTCTTTCAATGCTATGTGGGTGAACAGTCCGACTGAAGGCCGGTCGCCTGAACGTGTATATATTCCGGACGATCTGTCAGATAAGACTGTTCAGGTGACTGGAGAAAAATCAAAAACATGTTCGTTCATCCGGCCGGCCTGACGTACTCAAAGGCAAGTCTGAACGTGTGTTTGGCACGGTCCGCGTGTTGGGCCGTTGGGCTATCATTTCAAATAGTATAGTATAGTTTCAGTGAATAGTGAGCTTATGCCATCATATCACGCGAAATAGAAAACAGGTGTTTCGAGGAATTTATTGCGATTTATCATGGCGAGTCGTACCTGCGGCAAGTCAAATCGAAAAACTTAAACGACCATTACAAGAAACTGGTAGATTCCTCTTGTACGGACTCTACTGTTCTCAAAAAAATGTATACTAAGTACTAAACCAAAAAGTGCTAATAACGCGTCGTCGTCAGTAGAGGCAGTGATGATTGAGACTGATGAATCAGATACGCCAGGGGTACGTTCAAGGACGGCAATGCTAATGCCAAAACCTACTTTTCCCCCTCCAACTGTAATGCCGAACCACGTAGGTTGGAGCCGAACTCGAACGCAAAATGCCAATTTTGGCTTGGCTATAGCCATTCCCGAACGCAGCCCTGAACATGGGGAGGGTCATCAGTCCATCCGGCGACCGGCCTTCAGGCGAACTGTTCAGTTCGAACTGACAGGCCTGCCGGACCGTGTGTAGCCGGCTTAAAAGGGAGACGGCATTCGAGACTTTTCGAGAGGTAGAAAGACACCGCCGCCGGGTCGGGAATGACGGGATGCTACAAAATTGTCGTAACGTTGGTGTTAGCAAAGTCTATATGCTAGCGTTGTCTCCTCAAAATTACCATAATTGATTCATCTCTTTCTCAAATTCGCAATAACTAGGTATCTAATTTCTTGTAAAATATATTTCAATACATTAAGCTTTAATCGTTTTACTCAAATCAATTGATCAACTTCTCATTCTTGGGCTTAGGTAGGTACTATTCCAATCGTTAGGTGGATCTCTTGTTGAGATGAATTCTCGGATAAATTAAATACTCGTAATTCTAATTATTGTCGAGGAAGAAGTTTCACTTCTATCGTCACTTCACGCACAAACTATTTTTCCCCGATGAAAGTTTACCCGATCCTCCCATTGCAAACCACTCTCGGTCGGAATAAATTGAAAATTAACCTCTATTAAAAAAGTTCGTATTTTGATACAGTTGCCATCTGTTAGGATTTTTCTAAACCCAACATATAAATATTACATTAGATTACATTCTACTTCAACAGTTTTGAAATGGCAATTTCTGTTCCGTTTAGTTTGACTAGTATTACCGCGCCTTGATAGATGGCAGCAGCAATCACAACAAAACTTTTTTTTTAAAGTTAAATTCTATACGCATTTAATTTATTGTATTTTGTTTTATCATCGGTATTATGAATATTTTAGTGATAAGAATTAAATAAAACTTACAGCAAGTAAAGCAATATTTGTGCCAGACCTTATTTAACGATATAAATTCTTCGGTTTTGTAAATACCACATCCACACCGGGCGCAAGACATTTCTCTTCCCTTTTACACTACACAAACAAAACAAAAATACCGATTGTTATTAGAAATTTACAATGAATTAATTCACTAATAATTTTGCACGAAAAATTTAGAAAACTGACAAGAATTAACGTCACAACAATAAATTTCAAATCTGCCGCCAACAATAATTGGAAAAATCTACATCAGAAATAGTTCACTTTTGTCACGTGATGTTCGTGTATTCTTTAAATAAGTATATCACATGCAAAAGTCTGGTCGATCAGTAAAAAAGTCTAAATGAATATGCTACGCACGGCGTCCGCTCCCGACATCTGACGGTGACTTTTAACATATTTTTCCAATGACATTGACAGCGAATTTTGTCATAACCAAAAATATTTATATCGCGAAAAGAGTGCATAAATAAAGTGAAATTATGCTTTAAAACTGTTTTAGTTTTCGGTGTTTTTTTGTTTAAAATGCTTTAATTTGATAGTAAAATTGGTAAGTCCATTGAAAAAATCAAAAACTTTATGTTATCCGGTACGTGGGTGTTTCATGACCTCAAAGTCGGGAAAGTTTATCTCATATTTATAATTAAAAAATAATAAATTACAATGTATAAACAATACGTTAACTTGTGTTGTTTTAAGGAAATATTGGTAACGTACCGAAATTGTGATTCCTTGATTATTTAGCCGATCCTGAAAGTAAGTCAATTAGACAATTTTTTTACTTTCATTAGGTATTCATATCCTGATTTCGATAGAATTAAAATAGAGTCTGAATTTATTTAAGATTCTGAGGAACATCTATAAAAAAAATAGGTTATAAACAAATTATTCCTCTAAACAAATAGGAACTGATGCTGAAAACTATCCTATTTTGATTCTAACATGAGTCATCTCATTGACTTAAATTTGCATCCCAAAGTTGAATAGTTTAATAAATAATTATTTGTGATGCCTAATTTGTCTCAATTAATCTTTGTTCAAAGTTGTTAAATTATTAATTTTGTCCTTGCTTGATTGGATGCTAGCAGTGTAGGTTTAGAATACTGAATATATTTGAATACTAGAAATGATTTCAATTAAAAATTTAAAAGGGAACGTTGCTCTAATTTAGTACTTTCTCAACACAGCATTGGAACAATTACATAAATGCGCCAGATGGCCCAATTTCATTTAATTCCTATTATTATTAATAAATGCCCCTCAGCTCGGAGCATAGAACAAGTTGCAAAACAATCTCAAATGTACGCACCTGTCTATATCATGTAGAACATTTTCTTGGTATTCTATTTTTACTTCAGATTTTTCGCAAGATTTTTTATGTTTTTAACAAGTAGGTATACTTCTCTACAATACCTACATATTTAATTACGTAATTATTTAAAACATACTCAAATATTCTTGGTAATAATTTAATTTCAGTCAACTGCTTATTCATATTAGGTATCATCACTTGCTAAGAATATTTGGCATAAACATTTAATGTGAAAAGTAAATATTTGTCAGGTGCAAGAATTTATTTTTCAAAGTTTTAGGTATATCCTCGAGTACTTATATCTTTTTTTTTTATTATCAAAACAAGATAAAATTATATATTTGGAAATTTTTGGGGCCTTGTATGTAGGAGGTTTTTGTTGGATGGGGACTAAATGAAAATAGGAAATTGCAGTTTTTTTTTTATGTGTTAGTACGTTTTCAGTTTATTCCAATCCTCAGAACACGAAAAGTTGAGCTTTCTTGGTTGAAGGTTGGCACACATGACTAGATAGAAAGTGATATGATAAAAGAGATCACACAAGTAAGGGATGCATATTAAAATCTCTCCTTATTCTTGAAAATAATTTGGGATGAGGCCCAGATAGTATTTTAAGATGACTTTGACACTCAGTTTGACAAACCTTTTCCCATCTGGAATTTCAAAGCGAAAAAAGGATGTCCTGGGTAACTAGTGGTATTAAGGTGTCCTTTAAAGAACATGGGGCTTTCCGAGGGGCTTTCATACAATTCAAAATTTCACAAACAACAATGGCTATTTAAGTAATTTATTTTCAAAAATTTCAATTTTTCATAAAAATACTATATTATTGTAAAAAACTGTTGTCCAACCTTGATATTTCCACTTAGTAACTAGTCTATTTCAACTATTTCTAAGCTCTAGACACTTTCCGGACCTCAAAGCGAGTCTGGAAGTCTGCCTATGGGTCGGTTTCTCAATAGCGAGTCACCTCCGGGTTGGCTTTAACTCCAGGGTAAGCGTATCCAGTTGCTATGTTCACCCTGGAGTTATCCTTAACCCGGGGGTGACCTGCTATTGAGAAACCTGCCCTATGTGACTGCTATATTCAAGGGGTCGAGAGGGGGAATGTGGTTAACTACCGCCCCATTTCGGTCCTTTATTTTATGGCCAAGGTTCTTGAGTCCATTGAAGTTGACAAGCTATTGTCAGTGTTACACAGCACCATCAGAGTTTAAAACGAGCTATTCTCACAAATCTTCAGCAGCTCAAACCTTGGTGTGATTCTAATCTTCTGGTGTTAAACTTAATTAAAACAAATATTTTGTCATTTAGATGCGATCTAGGACTTGCCAACGTCCACGATATTTCTAACGAATGTCGACCTGAAACTAAGTTTCTGGAACTTATTATTGACACTGAAATGAGTTTTAAATCTCACAATAGACCCATCTCGCATAAATAGAAAAAGAGAGCTTAATTGTAATTAGTGATGTGAGTCGAGAATATTCCCATGCGAATATTCGCGAACATTGGGAAATTTCCGAGAATATTCGCCGATTAAAAATGGAAACGTTCTCCTGAATGAGAATATTCCCGGAAACTTTCAATCAAAAACTCTCAAAAGAATATTTCCGAGAATTTTCGAGAATATTTCCAAGAACTTTCCAGAAGAATTTTATAAAAATGCGAGATTATTGCGAATACAAGGTCTCAGCGATGTCATTTCACTTTATGTGGATGACGTAGCCCAGTCCAACTGTCTTTACGGAAACGTTGATCCAATTTACCCGATCACCAACTGATGTACCTACAGCCTACAGTTTGTCTTTTTTTTAAAATAATCTTCAATGAAGAAAGATAGAAAAGAGATTGTTTTAATCGGATCAGCTTTTCCTTTAAAGCCGAGTTTAAAGCCTTATTCAACCATCCATAAAAGTGTTTTTACTACATAGTTTAATTTTTAGCTGATCTTACAGCAAAAAATAGGTGTTTTTCTTGGTTTATAGTCTATAGTAAGTACACTATAATAATAGGTAAATAAAGCTTATTTGTCTGATTTACCTAGCTATAAATTGAAAAAAGAAAAAACAATATTTCCATAAGTTCCCGAAAGTTTCCAATATTCCTGGAAAGTTTCAGAGAATGTTCGCGGCTTTTGAATGTTCCGGGAATTTTACATCATAATTGTAATAAATACAAGTTAGAAAGTAATAAAAGATGACATGCGCACGCAACTCGTGGCTGCCGTGTAGCCAGATTGTATTGTTGCAGAGCAAATGTAGACAATACGAATCGAACATTATAACATTAAAGAAGTGATATAGTGTTAAGTGTTTTACAACGCCATAAATCAGACAAAAGAAGAGCTTTAAAGTATATATTAACATCTTACACTTTTATTTTGATAAATGTTTCATCTGGCAACATCTCACAATGAAATTGCAAAGAAATATGTCAAATATAATCTAACATAACCTTAAACGATACTGCGGTGAGTTCGAGTAATACGTAAAGTATTAGTTTGCTCTTTGTCCAGTTACACGTTGCAAAGAAAGAAGGAACGATTAATTCTGATCTGGCCCCTGAATAAGAATGTGACGCAAGCTTGTAACGAACTCGCTCCTCATTGGACGCTCACCTGCAACCTATGAGTTGCGCGCGCAGTCCAGGTAATAGGAGATCGGTCTATTGTCAGTATTTCAAGGAAAATATCACCTGGGTGTTTTGCGGTCAGAATAACGGCCACTGAACTCGGACGTTCCTTGTCCAGATCGGTCTATTTTACCTTGATTGAGTCCCGGTTAAGATATGGTATCTGCCGAGGTATCTGCTTTTGGGGGTTCTGTTCCCAGAATCTGTTAAGCCGGTCCCAGACGCTACGTGTATTCGGGGTTATTCACGTAGCGTGTGGGAAGGAAACTTTGGCGAATATTCGTGCTTCGTCATTTTCCCGCCAATTGTCGGTGAAATGGCACAAAGCAAAGGAAGGCGAAGTCCACCACATGTGACTGCTCCCAGACGCTTTGGGGGTAGATGCATAGTGTTTTGTCCTCGGTTTTGTCAGTTTATAGCGGTGTGCAGTGCCGCAAGGTTGATTTTTGCATTTTTAGTTAATTTTAATTAAAATAAGAAATAGAGTGGACCGCTGAATTAAGGTTAGAATTTTTACAATTATTTGAAAATGAACCTGTCTTTGGCACCCAAAGATACCTGCTGAAAATGACACAAGTAGCGGCGGCAACAATCTGCTCTTCATCACTGTCTATTTGAACTAAACAAACGTCATACATGAAACGCCATTGAAAATCGACTTTTGCTTGGAAACTTCGCCGAACAATTTGTAAGCCAAACCTTGGCAATAGCACCACGCAGTGTGGGAGATCAGGCAAAGATTCGTGCGAATGACGAATATTCGCCTATTCGCTGAATACACGTAGCGTCTGGGACCGGCTTTAGCTCTTTTTATATTACAGAAGCGGGCTCTTGGGTACATCTGTGATGCTAACAATAATAGAGATCACTGCAGACCTTTATTTAAGAAAGAGAATATCCTAATATTGTATAGTCTGTTTATTCTGGAAACAGTCACACTTGTTTACAAAACTCGGCCTAGACTTATGTCTCATAATGCTATCTATTCGACCCGAAACGCGTCGAACTTAATGTTACCCCTCGTGTTACCCATACCCCACTCCACATTGGTAAAAAAATCTGTTATATATGAAAGCATTAAGATTTACAACCATTTGCCATGGAATTTGATATACATCCCCTCCCTGAGACATTTTGGGAGGGAAGGTAAGACGTTGTTGGTTGGTGTGACTTAATATGGTTTGAACGAATTTTATTGTGATCGATTTTAGTTTAGAATTTTCTTCTCGTTTTTTGTTTTTTTTGTTGTCGGATTTTATAATTTTTTGATAGCATACTAGGATATATATTTATTATGACTTTATTTTTATTATTCTTTTTAGTGTTTTGTCAATGAGAACTTTATGTACTTTGGACAATAAAGCTTTTTTGAATTTGAATTTGCCTTTCTGAAAATCAGCATGGCTTCTTATCGGGTTGCTCGTGTCAGACAAATCTATGTGTTTACTCTCACTACTTATCTGCAACTATTAATTCAGTGGACTAGGTCGACTCAGTTTATTTTGATTTTAAGAAAGCTTCTGAGTTGACTATGTTATCTTTATGAGCAAACTTGAATCATTCGGCGGGACAGCATGGGTAGCAAGTTAGGTATCTTCGTAATTGAACAAAAATCGTCAGGTTTGGTGGTTTTATTTTGAGAAATTCAAAGCACTTATAGAAAAAGCATTCACGCAACATTTGAACCCTTTTAAAAACAAGATGGGAAAGTCTATGGAAGAATTGAAAAATTCTGTGCAGTTCATGTCAGTTGGAGAGAAATCTAAAAACTCAAACAAGAAATCAACTTGCTAAAATGAAGGTGGAAATT